TGCCTGCCCCTTCTCACCTGGAAGACTCTGGATGAGGAGCGAGGGGCTGGGGAGGGGAGCGCTCCGGGGGCTGCTCGGAGCACACCGATAAATCCCTCCATCCCAGAAAGGCGACGGGGCTGGGGCGGGCGCCTGGGTCCCCGAGGAGCCCTCCAAGGGGCAGGCTCGGACCTGATGCTCAACTTTAAGGGGAAAATCATCCCAAGGGCAGATGTCAACTACAGAGAACAAACGACGACAGCCAGATCCCTTCCTACTGGAAGCAGGAAGAGCCTTCCTTTTGCAAAGCCTGATTTCCAGCGGTTTCCTCCCCAAAATGCTCCCAGACAAGACCTCAGCCCCAACCATCACCCGAGGCAGAGCCCGCCCGGCCGGGGCACAGCCCTGCACATCTCCCCGCACCCGTGGGCTCCTTCAGGCACGTGCACGGCAACACGGGTCGCTGTTAAAAACACTTTTAGGGCTTAAAAATCGGCCAGATATGTAAGCGCCCCGCGCCTGGTGCTTTCCAAACCACCGACTGGCACGAGCGGCTCAGCTGGTCCCACTCAAACCAAGCCAAGGATGAATTTTTTTTCCCCCCCCCCCTCTTCTTTTGGCCCCAAGGAGGTCAACGCTGAGCTGAAAGCTTCCACACGAGAAAACTGTTCTGGCCCACCCAAATTTCACGCGGGAGGAGCGACCCAGGTCATTCCCCACCTTGAGAGGCTGCAGGGAGAGGAGCAGGGGCCCCGCACGCAGCGGCCGGATGGAGCCGTGGGACCTTGCCAACCTGGTACAACGCGTGGCTGAAGGCTGCACCCATCCACCTGAAAAAAGCACCATCTCCAGCTGAAAAAGGGAGCTTTTCCACGAGTCCCTTCTGCGCTTTGGTGGTTTTTATGGTCCGTTCCGTTGTTCATCTGCCTCCGGTCCCTGATAGAGGGAGGAGGACAGCAACAACCTCTGCGGAATTCAAGGTTGGACAAAGGAAGCCATAAAAATTTTTCTCCAAATCAGCAGGACGAGAGCACCCTCCAGAACCAACCTACAAAACCATTCCAGGCAGGATACAAACGTTAAGTGTTCCTCCCCAAACAGGGACTGCGGATTCACTCGGCGAGACAGGACCAAGCTGCCTCCAAGATCCCACCCGCGTCCACGAGGACCACGGCCCCCTCGGCAGAGACCCCTCCGCTCCCATCCTGCCTTGGAACAGCAGCTCTGCACCTTTTCTACACCCGAACGATCAAGTCCATCCGTCCCCCTTACACCCAGATGTGAAGCAGCCCTAGGAACAGTTTTTAAGCGGATGCCAAGAGACGGCTGTTAGCTCCAGCGAACCTCGGGATCCCATCCGGCACCGTCAGCCACCTGGCTTGCAGCAAGGAGAGGTGGAGCAGGGCCCTGGGAAGGCTGCAGAGCGGAGCCCACCGTCCCCTACCCACCACCCCGGAGCACGCTGCCTGCGTCGGTCCCCCTGCCGCAGACAGCCCCCACGCCTGGCTGCTGGTGGCAATTTGGGGACAGGGTGCACAGGGTTCACGTAACAGCAGGAGCACCAGCAGGCTGTTGGGAGAAGCCCTCCCAAGGAAAGCAACAGCCGACCGAGCACATCGTTCAAGTATCGCCCCTAAAGCCCGGCTGCGTCAACAGCTCCGAAAGCCACAGAGCCCCCCCCGCCCCCCCCTCGTGGGGAGCTCCGGGGGTGCATGGGGAACCCCCCGGAGGGGCAGGGATGGAGCGGTGCAGCACAGCTTTCCCGACCCACCGCAGAGCAGGGTTGTGCGTTTTCACCCCGGGCAAGCCCAGTGTCCGCAGGATGGGCTCTGCCCGGATTCCCAGCGCCCGGCCAGCACTGGTTTTCCCTGGTCTGCTCTCCAGGTTGGCTGCTTTCCCTTCCCAAACCCAGCCTGCGCCTCCCCATCCCGGAGCGGGGCAGGAAGGAGTGAAAAGGCTGCCACTACCATCACACCAGGGAGAGGACCGGCTTCTCCCTGGCTTCGGCAAGGGGAGACTCACAGCTCCCCCACCTCATGCATCCCGCTGGCCGTCACCTATCCACACGCCCCGGCCCACGCCATCGCATCCTTGCCTCCAGGGGCTCTTTTTGGAGAGAAGCTTGACGGGACACACGCGCACGGGGCACGCCGTTCTCCACTGGCACGGAGTGGGACACTTCAGGCGTCAGAGCAGGCTTGGCTCTCGGGAAGGTTTTCCCTTCCAGCACACGGAGAAGTTGGAAGATTCCAATCTTCAGCACGTGGACAGCCGAGATGCAGCAGGGCCAGGCGCGTGGGTACTCAAGTGCCACCGACACGAGTACAGTACGAGATGGTTTCTCCCCCCCCCACCAC